TATTTTAATTATTCATCAAAAAAATCTATTATAAACTTTTTAAAAAATTTTAATACACTTATTAAAAATTTAATTAAAATATTTTTACTGATATAAAATTTAAAATTCTACCTTCACTTAATTCAAAATAAAAATTTTGGACAGTGATTCATTCACCCTCCTCCATCGCACACTCTGTTACACATTCTTAGTCTCTGTTACTTTCTCTGTTACTCTCTGTTAAGTACCAACCCAACCCTTTCTTTCTCCCTCTCATTTCCTTTCTCCTTATTACTATTCACCATCCTCCTTACTGATCAAAACCATCAGAATCCCTCTAGTTGATGAACTGAAAACATACAAAGACCTCCATCCTCATCCTAATCATCTGCAGCCTCATATTCCTCTTCAGCAACCTGGGTTCCTTCGAACCCACCACTAACAGATCTACTTTCGCCACCACCGCCCTGTAGCGCGATATATTCACTGAGAACCCAGTTGCAGATCTTAGAGAAATATTCACAAGTGCCAGTAAGTGGATCAACAATACATCAGAAAGCGAACCCAGATCAGAAAATTTCAAGTAAAACCCAAAAGCAAAACTATTTACTTCTTCACTAAAGCAACAAAAAGGAGGAAAAAACCGATTTCAATTTAGCAACAAAGCACAGCATAAGAATACACCCAGATTAAAGCAAAATCCAACAAAAATAAAAACCCAAACCTCAATTACCCTGATCGAAACTACCCCTGAGAAAAAGCACCAAGACCCAAAAGTGATATCAAAGATTTTGAAAAGAGCAGACAAATGGGTGGTGGCTAATTAGCTAATATATTTATAAGAAACAATTGTTTAATGTGAAACAAAGGAAGATACCCAAATAACTAGCTTCTAGGACATCTGCAGCGTCGTTTCCCCTGCTTCCGCTAGATTTGCTTCTGGGTCCGATGCTTCCGCTAGATCTGCTTTAGGGTTTGATGCAACCCACCTCCATTGTTTCAATTGATGATTGCTCTGTCTCTGCTCCTTCTCCTGCACAGTCTTCTTCCTTAGATATCCTGTTGTACGATGACCCACGGGAAGTGGAAAAGCATCGTGGTAGCGATGGATCATTTGAGAAAACAGGGGAACGATCGGAGATGTCTGAGAATCGGCTGGAGCTATAGAGATAGGAAAAGAGATAGAGAAAGAAAGGGCTGGGTGTGTTTAGGAGTTAACGGGGAAAGTAACGGGGGGTGAGTGTGAGTGAGAGTGTGTAACGGAAGAGGGTAAACGCAGTATTATCCAAAAATTTTAATGAATCCACTACAAAGCAATTTTTCTTTTCTTTTCTTTTCTTTTTTTCAATCTTAATGTTATTTTACACAACAGATAACCCTTTCCCACAAATCCACAGCTAAAATATCTTCTCCACATTTGTACTTTCCTTTCTTCCCAAAGTAAGTCAGTCCAAAACCGATTCCAAAGCTTTCGAGCAAAGGGCCAATTCATTTTCCCATTTGTCCAAATGGAAACCTGAGGCTTCTGATCCAAGACTAGAGGAAGAAACCAAAAAGAAAAAAGACAAACTCACAGTCACAGGCTAAATAGCAAAATGAATACTGTCGAACAAACATTCTGAAATGATACCTTGAGAAATTTGCGACTTACTACTGACCCACAATGTCAGTTCATGTCCTGTGTTGTAGCCGCTGAATTCAGTCCACTTTCTGGGCAAATCCATACACTCTAAGATCTTAATTGGTTTATAATTTAATAAATAATGTAGAACTTCTTCGGGTTTAAGTGGCTATCTATATCTCGTTAAGAACCATTTTACTTTACTAGAGGTGTGAATTTGAGTCTCACCTCTGTGTTAAAAAATAATAATAATAAATAACCAATTAATTATTAAATTTTTTATATTTTAACCTTTATTTTTTATTAAAACCATTTATTAATTTTTAAAATTAAATCAATTTCATCTATTTATCACAATTTCTGTTAGTTAACTTGACAGAAGATCAATGTTATTACTCATGTGGTGCCTACCAAAGAAGTGCCATATGGTCAAAAAAGGAGGAGAAATTCTTTTCTATTCAAGAACAAAGTGTTTCAAAAAGAGAAGAATTTCACAAGAAGTTTTGTTTTTTCTTTTCTTTTCTTTTTTTCAAACATGATTTATTTAAATGCTTGTATTTTAAAAAAAATTTCCCACTTTTTTGGCTATGTAATGCTTATTTGACAGCTTACTTGGCAGCAGGTAAGTAATAAAATTGACTTCCATCAATTTAATTAACATGATGCATAAATAAACGAAATTGATATAATTTTAAAAGTTAATAGGTGATTTAAAAAAATAAGAATAAAAATTTTAGACTACAATTAAAAAAAAAAAAAGATTAATGGTAAAAAATCGAGTTATTAAATTGAGTTGATATTGATATTATATGTATATATAACATTAGAGCTGCTGTTCAGCCTCAGGGTAGACTTTCATTTTAATTTTCTTGGTCTTGTAAAAACATGCATGTGATCTTCTCCAATGACAACAATTTTCTTGTTTGGCCTTGGAGAAAAGCAACAAAATAGAAGACATATTCTATGTAAATGAATTTACCAACAATAACTTGAAAACAAAAGAGAGGCAGTCAGATGAACAGACATGGTTTTGGTTGAGCAAAACAGGAGCTGAAGTGCACCAAAGTTAGCTGCTGTTCATGAATCATCGTTTTCATTTGTCACACGAAAGAGACATCTCACCTAAATTCAACGCAATAGCAGTTTGTCTCATATGCTTCATCATAGCCAGCCTAGCTCTCAGATCAATAATCCAGCGCCTGGACCTCCAGCACATCCTGTATATAATTCCTTGAGGAGCAGGGAAAATATGTGCTTCGGTTGTGTACTTATTTATCTGCTGAAATTGCAACCTTTTGATACAATAATCCAAGCAATTTTTTCCTGTACAAACATTTCCT